GATAATTGTACTTACGATGTTTTAAAATGTCTCGAGTATCGAGTTTCTCGTCGATCGATTGTGAATAGATGGCAACAATTCTCTTACATACCAAATTGAAAACTTCAAAGTAAAATCCGACACTTTGCTCTTTTGTTGGGGTTTTTTTCTCTTTATTTATCGAGACATACCTGTCACTGTATCTCGAGTACATGACGCAATTATTTTGATTCTTCGAGCATTTGTTTTGCATTGGAAAGCGAAAATATATAGTTCAAGTCAATCTTAATCCGAGCCTAATTAAAATATATTTACTCAAAATGGGATAGGCACTACTATCGCACTTTTATCATAACAATATGGGATGTAAACATGACGCAACATAATTACATTTACACGGTGTCTACGAACACAAGCATTTACAATAATAAACTAGAGAACGTCACGTGCCTTCGAAATTTATAGGTCGATAGATCGAGTAGCCGATTAAAGCAGATATTACGATATTTGAGTCAACGCTAAAAATTTGTTTTGATTATTATATCGCAACGATGTAATACTGCGAATTTTTAATATTTATTTATTTTTTTTTTTATGGAGCGATCGTTGACATTTTCTATCATAGATCGCGGCTCGAAGGCTATGTTTTGCTTTTTCTTATCGGCTAGACATGACGGTGCTTCTTGACAATTTTATTATTATGCGCCGCGTTACAATTCAAGGCTGCTGCAGTACACACTTTTTTCTCGCAATCGAATTTGTTTACGCGCGCGTGTATTAAATCCGCGAGAAAATAATTTCGAAAGTATTCGTACTCGACTCATGATATTATTTTCGTGCGCAGAAACTGCAATTGTATAAACACACGCGACGAATCGAAGGATTAACTTCACCGCGATTGAAACAAAAAAAAAAATCAAAAATTTTTAAACCAAAACGTTCCGTTAAGTCGCCTAGTTCAGTATGACTTTTCTATTAACAGCCAGTAACAGTATAGATAGTTGCGTAATGATGTTTGAGAGAGATCGTAATTTACGCGAACTGAAAGAGTCAACCGCGAGAGACAAGGAGAAGAGAAAATACAAAGAGGCGAGACGACACTACGTTTATGCGTGTGTATGCATTACGAGGCAGTACACATATGAATCATACGTTTATTATAATCAATTTCACAATGAGCCTTATCATTGAAGTGCATCGAATTTTATTCTTTTTTTTTTTTTTTTTTTTAATCAAAAGAAAATGTATATTAATATCGATCGAGAACTTCTCTCGGGGCAAATTCCCTACTGCCATCGTCACACACAATCGCAATTATATCTTCATCAATATATCGTGCTGGTACTGTTATAGCCAGTGCGTAGCGATACGTATTTTTTTCTCCTTCTCTTATCTAAGCACATATTTATATATTGCGGATGCATCGCGCGAGTATAAAAAGTAAATAAATATGGCGCGCCCAATTTTTTTTTCTCTTCGTTTCGATGCAGCTCGAATTTAACTTACTATAGCTGTGAGAGTCTTTCATATGCCCCGATGTATTAAAGGAAATAATAAACTGATTCCTCAATTGTTTTTATCTCAGGCGCTGTGCAATGAGAGCTACTGCCGAGCGAGCGACGATTTCCCCTTATCATTTTGGGTAAATTTTGCATGTTTGCTTAGTTGAATCAATGTTTGATACTTATCCCGGCTTCGACGATCGTCGACGACGACGATGATGAGCACAAGTGCATGTCGTATTTCATATTGTTTCTCGAGATTCGAGCTACCGATCTTTATCTCTCTTTCTACGCGTTTTATTTTTGAAAAGTTCAACACTTTCGATATCGATCATAAAGATCATGCTCGCGCAGGATTTTTCTTTATTAAACAATAAAATATTTAACGAGGCAAACTAAACCCGTCGTGGCTCCTCCGATCTATACCGCGTACGAAAAAACAAAATGATGAAATCATCAATACTCGCGGTACAAATATTAGCTATAATAATATACAATGCGTCGCGGCTGGCTACGGTTGAGACAATTTAAAGGGTCTCGCGGGAAAAAACAAACCGGGATGTTTTTTGCGTACAGAGCACAATTCCTTATCTCCTTGTCTATAATTCCATTCGATCGCGATCGTGAGTCGATCGCGATGCGACATCCGGATAAACCCAACGTTGTGAGTAGACAAATAAGTGGAGACTGTGGTGTATATTATTTATTTTTTTTTTTTTTGAAGCGAATCGGGCGCTAATTAGAGGCGACGACGGAGATGAATTCTAAGCATATGGAATTAGCATAAGTTTTCCTGAAATTCTAATTCGCGAGAAAAAAAAAGATTCCACCACTAATATTCATATGTTAAATAAACTAAACTATGTAACTTACTGAGTAAACTTATTAGATATAAAAAATTCATTCATTAAACATCATGCATGACAGATTGCGATAGGATCTTAGAAAAAAAAATTAAAAATAAACTATCGATTTGTGCTGGCACAATTATAGGATCGTAAACATGTAGTATGCAAAATGTATCGTGCACATAGAGACAGTAAGACTGCACTACCCACGCGCTCGATTTTTTATAATTATATCCCAAACCAATTGGTCGACTGCTGCACCGCACGCGTGTGTATAGATATGGGAGCTTTCAAGGCCAGCGCGGTGATGACCGCGTGAATCGGTAAACGGCCAGCAGTAGCGAGCTAGCCTCGAGAAGTTCAAGTTGCCAAGTTATGCAATTACATATACGCTGCTGCAGCAGCAGCAGTGCATTAACGCCGTTGCGCGAGCTTGCGACGCTCGTTTACATGTATACATATACGCACACGACGATGAACACACGTTTAGTCTCGCTCGTATCCGATGTATGTACCCATCAATCATATATACCACGCGGAAGAGTTTCGTTAGTCGTGTGTGTATTGGAAAAGTTCAATACCGTACGGAGTAGCTCCGATCCATTTAGTTCGCGATGATCTTTAAGGTCGATTTAGAAAAGCAAATGATCGGGTGCGAAAAAGTAGGTTGCGCGGCGCGATGATTTTTTACGCAAACAAGAGTGTATATTATATTATACATATATAGGCTTGTGCGATTCGTTCGATGCGTGCGAGTTTTATAAATGCCTTTACTCGATTTTTCTGGACAGTGCTCAGATTGGCCGGTAAGATCCCATTGTTTCCGGTATCGACTGCCGCATTGCGATCTAGCTATTCGAAGAAAAGAGAAAAACAAAATATCCTTCGAGAATATGAGTTTCTTTACTTGCGAGGCATCGAACTGCTGCGATCTGTTAATACATAATTGTTACGAAATTTAATGTACCCGAACAAATAATTGACATCGAGACTGTTTAATACGTCATTATTAAGATGTTTGAGCAACGATTATGCTAAAACGCGCCGCGAGAGAACGAGGCAATCGGCACGCAAATTTTCACAATGAGAGCTGCCGACGACGACGACGACGACGACGACGACATTCCTCCAATTTAATGACATTCATAACGTCGATTGTTTTCGATCCATTGGTTATTGATCTATGGAAAGAAAAAAAATTAATTGAGTTTATCTTTTCTACGCGATTACCTTTGAATGGTTTCAGTTTTTTAGTATACGAGGCCAATTATTGGGCCGGCTGACCGAAAAACTTCTACTCTACTGGTTTCCCCCTTTAACGTAAAAAACACATACCGTCTCTCATAGACGTTCCAATTACATGAATTGTATACGGAAGCAGTCGGAAGCAGTTTCTATGATGTCAAAAATATTTTCTACTTCTCTTTTATTACTTATTTTTTTATGCGTTTCGACTTTTATCTAGTGCACTAGGTGACACGGTTCTCACGTACCGATCGTTAAACGAAAAAAGAAGCCTCAAATTCGAGATAAAGAAAGAAAAAAACAAACGGCCTATGAGCGGAGGTTGTTCCGTTTTGGTGCGTACACACAAGCTCCTCGCGGGATTTTTTTTTTATTGTCTGCCAGCGAATAATGTGATTTCGGGGATAAAAAAAAAAGTACGCACGAGAGATTGCACAACGCGGTGCAGTGTTTGTATGCATTATCGTAGAAAAGATGTTTTCGTCACCTGTCTGAGTTGTGATATTTACAACTGCATAATCTCTGCTTTTCAACGCGTCACTGCATCGCAACAGCGGTGCTGTATATTATTTCGCATCAAACAATAGGAAAACGAGCAACAATTAGCATATACCATGTTGTTGAGCGAGAACGCGCATTGACGATAATTTTATCAAAAGTAAAGCAAAATATAAACAAATCACGGTCAATTTCTCGCTTTCTATATCGAACTGGACTCGTTTCGATTACGAAACGATGCAATCTCAATCGAATCTGGACACTCGATCGGTATAATTGCAACTCGACGATCGGCAAAAAAAGCCCACGTGAATTCATTGACCCCTTATTGTATCGATTGATCGTTCAATAAATTTAATGTATCATGACTAAATTAATCGCTAGCTCGATAGAGATCAACAGGTGAACCAGAAAAAAAATTCTCCGCCCTTGTACAACACAATCGGATACGCACGTGCTGTGTGCCGCCGCTGCTGCTGCTGCACAGAGGTATTGTTCTAGCTCATCGAGTATTAGGCGTAAATCAATAAGCCACCGCTCGTGTATACCCCTCGCTCGAAATCGAAAAAACCAACGATCGCTGCGCGGCTCCGACGTATAGCAGCGTCGCGCGCGCAATAATCATCATAATAGCAATCGCACTGACTGACTCGGCGTTGACGGCTAGCCCCGGCGCGGCGCGCGCGACAGTTTCTTATCTCGCCGAGGGTTTTAAGGCAAGGCACGGACGCCCGCTACCTCAGTAGCCCATCGCGACTCGACACGCAAGCATATAAATATATAGAGTGGCTCGGCAAAGCCATCGTCGACGGGCAACGCAGTTTTTACTTTTGAACTGTTACGTACACGCGAATCGTATATTAATTCGTGAATACAAGTGAATAAAAGAAATTTATTTTTCTTTTTCTTTTTCTCTCTGTCGATACAGTGCAATCGTTTTATTAGTGATATTAATAAAAAAAAAAAGAGAGGACAAGATACAAGCCAAAGGATATTATTATTTTTCTACCGAATCTGTCGAAATTCTTCGGACGATCTTTCAAAGCCACAAGTGTGTCAGTCACACCAAATGACATCGGAGCGCAAGCAGCGCCCGGCAGCTAAAGGACTGAAAACGCAACAACAGAAACTCAGCGCGATCAGTGCCATCAGATCGGCGGCCAAGGACTTGGACGGCACGCGGCAATTATCCGCAGAATTCTGCACTGACCAATTTTTTACTAGCGGTTACTTCGACGTAAAAGGATCTCAAAATGGGTAAGTTTTTCAAAAAAAAAATTTTTCCTTTTTATTTCTTTAAATGATTAGAGAGAAAGAGTATTGATTTGATAATCGATTTTAATTTCGAGCCATACTCCTATTATTAGTGAACTCATTGAATTATTAAATTGAACAAATTTTTTTCGATTTCTTCAAAATTTATAAAGAAAAAAAGTAACTTTTTTATAATAGATTTTAATTTCGAGTCACACTCTTATTGTTGGTTAACTTTACTTGCATACACTTGGAAGTAGATTTTTTGGTTCTGAATATTGGTTTATTTGTACTAATTAAATATTTTTTTGAATTAAAAAATTTAGGTAATTGAAACTAAAATTTAATTAATTTTTAAAAATATTCAATTAATTCAAAGAATACTTTTTTTACATGTTTTCTTATGAAATTATAAAAGCACTCGTGTTACAATTTTAAAATCATGTGAAAAAATTGAAGCGGGTAAAACCATTAAGAATTTTCTATCATGAACAGGTTTCAACTCGATAACTCACATGAATCGCAAAATAATTCCAATCAAAATTTACTCAGCTGCTCGGTTAATCGACAGTCGATCAATAGAAATCGATTTGAATTCGCGCGGCTGACGCCGCTACCAACCAATTCGACGAAATTGAAACACGAGTAAATTAATAAACTTTTGAAGTACTACAGAGATCGGTATACGACCCGCGTGGGGATACACACCTAGAACATTCAAGAGATCGCGAGAGAGAGAAATGAAAAATAAACCTTATAGTGCAAACATGCCTCATTATCGCTGAGCTGTGAAAAAAATGAATGATTTTCTCTCTCTCTCACTCTCGGCAATTGTTTACGCGTCAAATCTCCGCGCTTTTGTTGACAAGACACACGAATGTAATAAGTGCAGTATCTGACTATATATCTCTCAGCTGTGACACACCACTTTTACGTTATATTCCTGAGGCGTCGAGGAACGATAAATTTTCACTTGATGTTTTTTTTTCTCGAATCGTCAAATTTCAACTATATGCAGCTTCGATCCTTAATTGGCAGAGTTGATTCGAGACTGAGTTCGCTGTAGCACGACATGTATGACGCCTACCATGCGTGCGCTAACGTCATCTTGACGTTTCATTTTTATGTGTTTTTGTAAAAAAAACGTACGATGTACGGTCGATAATTATCGATAACCGTGCTGCTGTGTGTTTTTACGCCGATAGTTTTTCTGATTATTTTTGTTAAAACAATATTTATGGAGTAAGTTTCTTTATTCCGAACACTAATACAATATCATTAGATACCGGTACGAACTAGAATGTATTTTTCCCGTGTCATTCGTTATCTGCTTTAAAAATCTTAATCTCACAATACAGTTTGACTTAAAAATTTACGATCGACTGAAATTCAATCGCCCACACAACCGGGATTAAGCGTACGAATCAATAATTTATCATGCTTCTGACAATGCATTAAAAAGAAAAAAAAGATAACCAAATGTCAGACAAGCGTGCTTCAATTAGAAAACACGAGGCACGCAAAATTTTTTGCTACTGTTCGGCTAGACGTAGATAAGAAATCACCCAAAAACTAAAAATGTCTCTTTTCAATTTTGCAGGAATCGACTTTCTCGCGGACGGCGGTGCCGACTTCGAGCATGCAATCTCCGTCACAGGTAAGGAACAAACAAACGATGACAAAAATAATTTTACCCTCCGAAAATGCAACAACAACAAAATTTCTCATACAGCCGCGACATGCAAATTATTGCGAAAGGAATCAACGATCTCGTAATTGCATACTCACTAGCACGCACACACGTACAAGCGCGCCTAATCTATTATAAAATCTGATACCTTATACAGACACGCATATAATGTACGAAGACGAGACGCGATCGATAAAAGAAAAAAAAAGTTAATGGGCATACGTGAAAAGAAAAACAAAATGCGCGTGTGTCCACACATGTTGTCAATGGAAAGTTTTCTCTATTATAACAGACGCTCGGCTTACATTATTATCGGCATGTATAAACTTTTTAATCGTGCGCGAAATTTTCTGCATCGACAAATCGACTTGAGCGATCGTTCGTAAATAATAAATCGAGCAAACAGTGTGTGTAAGCGCGCCTATTTAAACCCGCCTTTTTTTAAAGAAAACACATACAGTTTTAATTATAAATTCTTTATTATCTCGCGGGATAATCTCAGGCGTTAATATATTTCCGTCGGAAACTCGAGATAACGTATACCTGCATCGAGTATGTGCTCGAAAATCGATGCAAATCGGTATAATACACGACGTCGAGATAGTACTCGACGATTCGCGATCGCAATTAAAAATCTATGTCGGTGGATCCGAGGCGCGTCGAGGAAAATTCGAGAAAGGTATTTGTCTCTGTCTCTCTCTCTCGATGACTCTCCGTCAAAATGATTTTCTATGCACTTTTATGCCTTATCAATCGTGACAATCGTCGTCGTCGTCGCCGTTGACTCCGGTTTATTTGCAACTCAATCGACGAGAGCTACTTCGTTTACAAGGCAAATATTTGTTATATACTATATTATATACCTGATAAGTACGAGAGATAAAAAAATCGCGTATTTTTCGCGCGCGCACGCTCGTACGAGGCTGGAAAACAATACGTATCGTCGCTGTCGTCAAAAAAAAAAAAAAAAAAAAAAAAAAGGAAGCGCCGATCCCGTTTCGGAAAAACCTTTTATCACGTCTCATTATTTTTTTTCCTTGATATGATTTATAACGTAATGCGTGATCTACAAATGTCAATTCTTTCCTACTTTGATATCAAGCGTTGTGCTTTCTTTGTTCTGCTCGCGAGGCCCCATATAATACACAATCGAATGCGGGTCCGCGACACGCAATAATCAACATGACACGTCTCAAGGATTCGAAATATAACTTATTTTTTCAACCGATCTAATTGTGATGCAGGTTTTGGAAAGTTCCACTACATGCTGCTGGCCGTGAGCGGCTTGATTTACATGGACACGGCCATCGGGGTGACGATACTATCGTTCGTGCTACCCGCGGCCCAATGCGATCTTGATATGGACTCGACGAAGAAGGGCTGGCTGACGGCGGCACCGATGCTCGGTATGGTCATCGGCTCCTATATCTGGGGCTGTCTCGCTGACACCAAGGGACGCAAAATCGTCCTCATCTCGACGCTGCTCATGGACGGCATTGTGGGCATCATGTCCTCGTTCATGCAGCGTTTCTGGTTCTTCCTGGTATTCAGGTTCTTCAACGGGTTTGCGTGAGTTATTATTTGTTTTTTTATTTTTAAATACGTTCGAGGCTCCGATTTCAAATTGGCAGATCGTAATCGAAACTTTTTTTCTTTTGTGCAGTGTTACCGGAGCAATGGGAATCGTATTTCCTTACCTGGGCGAGTTCCAGCCAACCAAGCACCGCGAAAAGATCTTATGCTGGATGGAAATGTTCTGGACAATCGGTGTCATCGCCCTCCCCCGTAAGTACACGATATCTATAATAAAATTTATCTCTCTGGACAGTCAAACTAAATTTCACTCGATCTTCTCCCTTTGCAGTGATCGCCTGGTTAATCATGTCCCTGGAAATCGAGTACATAGCCGACGCGTTCGTCTTCAAATCCTGGAATCTCTTTGTCGCCTTGTGCGCCCTCCCATCCCTCTTGCTGGGCTTCTGGCTGTTCGCCTTCCCCGAGAGCCCGAAATTCCTGCTCGAGTGCGGCGAGACCGACGCCGCCCTCGCCGTCTTCCAGTACATCTACGCGCAGAACACGGGCGAGGCGCCCGAGGCCTACCCGGTCAAATCCCTCCAGGAGAAGCCCAACTCCAAGGACAAGAGCACTCGCGCCTTGAAACTGCACAAGCGCAAGGATCTCAAGGTCCTCGTGGCCGAGGTCTGGGATCTGACCAAGGCCCTCTGCAAGCCGCCCTATCTCAAGAACACCCTGCTGGCCTGCGCCATACAGTTTGGCCTGACTTCCAGCTACTACACCCTCATGATCTGGTTCCCCGAGCTGTTCAATCGTTTCGACGAGTTCAAGCGCACCAATCCCAACGACACCGCCTCGGTGTGCATCGTGTCCAGCCTGCCCGTGAATCTGACCACTCCGGCGATCGACGAGTGCCCGGTCGAGATCGGTAACGATGTCTTCCTGCACACTGTCTACATCGGGCTGGCCTGCATCCCCGGCTCCATCGTGCTGCCCCTCTTCGTGCACAAGCTCGGCGCCAAATTCTTCCTCAGTAAGTTCAGACACACGCACACTTTACTTTATTATAAACAATTTATCATTGTTACGAGGATGATATATAATCGATTTTCCTTCTTACTTCTTTGCAGTCATGTCGTTGATGGTCTCGGGAGCTGTGACTGTCGGCTTCTACTATGTGACGAACGCCAATCAAAATCTCGTGCTCTCCTGCGTCTTCGAGGCTCTCACGTCCCTCGGTATTTCTCTCGTCTACTGCGTCATTGTAGACATGTTCCCGACTAATCTTAGGTAAGTCTAAAACCGAGTACTATATAATATCTGTATACATTTTTAATTCAGCCGCGAGAGAGAGAGAGAGAGAGAGAATCATCATCGCTATACACGTTGTTAAAATAATGCATAGTGCGTGACCTCGACCGTGCGTGGCCTGTGTCGAGCTTTCGCAAGTCTCGGGTTATAAGAGCGCGCGAGCTTTTATTTCTGGCGCGCGTAAGAGAGAACATTATACAAGAGAGAAGAATGGCTCTTGGCACGCGACGCACACGTTGTATTCTTTCTCGCAAAGAGACGATATTCGTATATTATTATGTATATTTCTCGGCGGTGCTATTAAACTCGCGGGGCTGATAATTAATTGAACTCCTCGCGAAGGAGAAAGAAATTATTGTAATAATTATACATACCTCTTTCTTTTTTTCTGACCTGTCACGCACCTTCTTTTTTTACAGGGTTATGGCAGCGGCTTTGTCATTGACAATGGGTCGACTTGGCGCTTTGGTAGGCAATCTCGTGTTTGGCTACTTGATCGATCTGGCCTGCGTCGTACCGATTGTGCTCTTCGCTTCGTTCTTGTTCGGTAAGTTTTCTTTTCATATTATAATTTTAATTCTTTACATATAATTTTTTTTTTATGTGATTGCAATAACGTTAATTTTTTTTCGCAGCTTGCGGTTTCCTATCCGTGTTCCTACCCAAGACTGGCAAAGAAACATTGGACTAAACCACGCCTCATCAACGCTATCTCGATTAAAGATGAAGTTGAGCAAGACGATGTACATATTTTTACACATTTAAAAAAGAACATTTGTACTTGCGTGTATCTTTTGTACACGCAAATACGAATGTGGAAAAATCGAAATATGTGCATCGGAAAAAAGATGAAGAACACACACGAGCGCTGCAATACGGACAAGTATTCACAGATCTTCCAATATACTTTATAGCTGTTATATACACACACAAAAACACACCAAAACAAGTGCCTTAGTCTTACTTTTGTATAGACGATTGATGATTATTGCTAACCGCGTAATTCCGACGAGTATTCGCTAATTGTGATAATCGTTTATTATTATTAGATATTTAAAAAAAAAGAAAGAAAAGGGAAAGAAAAAAAAGTATAGAGATATTATATATATTTCCAAGCGAATAAATGAATACATACTATTTTTGTATGCGACTTTACTCACGTAAATCTATTATATTTATGTGCGAGATGTGTGTTGTTCGATGAAGAAAAAAAAACAAACTATTAGTGGGTCAGAAAAGGCGAAACTTGCTTTAACGATGATGACTCTGGTTTTTCCGAGTTTTTCGGTGATTAGCCTATGCCCACTTATACCTAGATGATTTGATGATGATTTTGATTTTTAAGTGTTGAGAATTTATTAGGCTTGTGAGTGCCTCCTTTTACAAAGGACCGGCACAGACTGCAATGAAGAATGATTTGTTATCGGCGTACATACATTTTTACACTTTCACATCGCGACAATTTGATTCTTAATGTATATACTTAATTATTATTTATTTTTTGTTTGATGTTGGAAAAATAATTCGTGTCGTCTCGATACGTAAAAACAATGTCAATTAACCGACGAACCGGGCCTCCCTGGATATATCAAAGAATATAATTCTTTCGAATAAATGTGCCTTATACTTATAATGAAACTGTAAATGATAATCTCACGTAGCTGAGCGAGCAGAATTTGCTTAATTGCTTTTCACACATATACTTATGATGTATCGATTCTTGTGCTTAACCGAATGGAACGAATGCGTTGAGATGGCTTTATTTTAAAGGATAGACGTCGATTATTAATTTTTTTTTTAGGGTACGAATGTCTTTGTTAGTGTAAGACGGGAGCTAAAATTTGTTTACCAAGGCTTTTACCGTCCGGACGGATTTTTTGATGCATAATAGTAATGTGCGAAGAATCGAATGCTGTACATAATCACCTTTAATTTACTAGATACTTTTTTTCATGTTCTTTATTTATTAGAAATGTGCGTTAAAACTCACGTAGGAAAACTTTTTCAAATGATGAATTTCGATTTCGTAATGACGTCGGTTTGTCTAATGTTAGATTTTATTTTACACGCTTGTGAATTGTTGATTTTTTTATGATTAAATATAAAAACTATTATAACATAACTTAGATAAAAAAATTATTATAATTACGATCATTGTTACTGAGACGAATACACAAGTTAAATGTAATTTCATGAAAAAATTGATGATTTTTACGCTTGAAAAATGTACCTCATTCATAAAGTAGTTTTCATATACATATTATATACGTAAATCATATTTTGTATAAGTATTATTACAATATATTAGAATATTTTTGTTTGATACCGCGTGAGAGAAAATAAATTTCACTGACTCTTGTAGCACTACTTTACGTTTAAAAATAATTAAAAGAATGAAAAAAAAGAAGCAAGAACAAGCTAAACTCACTTATATACGTTTTGATAATAGACATAAAAATTATTTTTGAATGTACGCACATAATTTAAGTGTAACTTGGCATGTGTATACGCGCGTAAAAGATGCAATAACTTAACCATGTAACCGTGGAAAATTTATAATATAATAGACTATGAAAATTTATGAATAAATATTAATCAATGAAATAATTCTTTGGCTCTCTTTCATTAACCAATAAATCCTCAAACGAACAAGTGCATAATTCCTTTCTTGAATTTCGACGACATGATCGTGTACAGAATCGGATTCAACGCCGAGTTCAGATAGAACATGATACGACAGAAGTAGAGCAGGCAAAAGTATCTCTCCACGCCGAAATCGAGAATTTTCTGCAGAGGACTGAACACGATCCAGAGCATCATGAGCCTAAAGGGCAGCAGGCAGAGGAAGAAGGCGAGTATCACGGCGCACAGCATGCGAATGACCTGATAACGATTCTGCTGATAGTAGAGATTGGCACCGGCCGTCGAGTCGTACTTGATTCTCGAGCGATGGATCAGCTGGTGGGTGATGGCCGAGTAGAGGACGATCAGGACGATCACCGGTAGAAAGAAGAACACGACAATGGTCATGGATATGTAGACGATGCTCCAGGTGTCGCGCGCCTCGGTGGTGCAGATCGGTATGGCCTCGCGTTCCGACGCCGAGTCGTCGTGATCGAATTCGAAATTCACCATGAACAAGAACGGGCTGTACAACAGTAAATCAAAGTTGTTTAGACATTTTTAATGACTCGTGTAATTATATTTTTTTTTGTGTTACCTGGTTAAAAAACCAGCCGCTATCCAAGTGAGTAAACATATCAGAGCTGCTCGTGACTTTGTGCACACGTAACTGTAACGAAAAATACGACTATCGATTATGCATTTGGTATATTGAATAAAATAAAAACGAAAAAAATTAATTTTATTACTTTGCTCGCAAAGGTTTGCAGATGGCGTAATATCGCTCGAAACTAATGGCTAGTATAGTCAGTACGGAGGTGTGCGCCACGGTAGCCTCAACGAAGGGCATTGCTCGGCCTTATTAAGGGTAAATCATCGAATTGAAACGTTAAATCATGAACGAGTTCGAAATATTTTTTTGATAAAAAAAAAGAAAGGACTTACACATGTTTTCTCCGAGTACCCAAATCTGCGGTCCCGTATTGACCTCCACGAGAATTGCCGGTGTGCAGACGAGTAGAACGCAGAGATCGGCTATGCTCAGATTAACGAGAAATATATTGGTACTGTTGCTCATGTCTTTTCCCCGTATTACCACGATCAAAACCTATTCGAGGAACTGTGAGTTATGATAAAGGTCTGTACTCTTTTCAAGTTTTTTTTCAATTTTATTTCAGATTAAAAATTTCAGGCTTTGTATTGCATCATAGCGAGAATTTTCAATGATTTCATCTAAAGGCCTGAAGCACTTGAAAAATCTGAAAAAATTCTAAGTTGTTTGGATTGTTGAAAAATACCTTCATGAATTTTTCAGATTCTTCAAGTGCTTCAGGCTTTCAGAATAAATATAAATAGAAAATAGAAGTTTATAGCAGAGGTGGGGGTCTAAAATTTTGGTTTTGGGACCTTTTTACCATGTACTATAACATACCAAAAGCGCGTCCAGATCAGTGACATACGTGCACACGATTATTTCAAAAAATTCGGAGCCTTACCCGTATTTTTTAGACTTCATTTTCAAAGATATAACAAGGGTTCAATAATGTCCCCATCTGACTCTTTGAGTCAATATTGCACTAGTGAATCACTTCGAGAATCATTACAAAAAATGTATAGAAGAAAGTTTCTCTTATTAAGAATTTTCAGTATCTGTAAAATTTTATATTATTTTTTTACATTGCTGACCTTTATGTATACAAGTATCGTTATGAAGCATAAGAGTCACTAAAACTACTAACTGATAATTTTGAAAATATTATCACCTATAAGATTCAAAATTTAAAAGAAAAAAAAATTAAAATACAATCACCAATGAAAGGTACAAATATGATTCCAACTTTACTCATTGTTGTGGATTTGAATGAGCACGACAAAGTTCCGATAAAAAATAAAACTTCGACAAGTTATAGGTCTACTTTATCATGTATGACGTCAAGCAGGGCATTTTTAAGTAAACTTGCAGTTGATAGTTAAAACACACAGTTTTAAAATAATTTTGAAACAAATTATTTTGTTACACTAGGAAAAATGATTTTGATGAAATTGGCATTCGCTTCTAGAAATATTGGTCTAACTATTTTCCTTCGTTTGAAATAATATTGAAAATTGGGTGCTTAACACCTTACCAAGGTAACTGGCAAATATTTTGAAACTTATATGAGCTGAAATTTGGCAGCAATTATTTTTTTGGTGTTTTGAAAACTTTGAAAGGGCATCCCGTCGATTTCATAAAAATCAATTTTTTATTGTCAGTCTAATGTACTTAAATTATAACTTTTTATTGAATTTATTTCTTGATTTTAATGTTCATAAATTGAATTGGCTTTTTTATCTTCACTTATTTTTTATCAAAACTTTTTTTCACATCAAAATTACCATTATGTTCCCGGCGAAACCAACGATGATAATAATGGCGCAGATCAACACCGACGTCAATTGAATATAAGTTGGTAGATTGTACAAACTCGATGTTTGCGATTCATCTGACATCAATTCCGTTGAATCGGTGACCATTCGAAAAAGGGTAAATCTTTTGCACACACTAATGATGATCAAAGATGTATTAGAATGTTTGTTCAATTTTAACTCAGAAACATATGAAAAACATTCAAGTTCGATTCGAGCACTTCAAGTTATACATATATAGATTACCGTGTGTATGAGCGAATTGACTCTGTGGTAGGATTTCCAGATTTTTTCGAAGCTCTTAGTGTATTATCGACGTTCTAATATAATACCACCCGTTGTGTACTTATGAGTTTCTGCTAATGCGTTTTGTCTCGTACACAATATATATTTAATATTATTTAGTTATACTTATTTTTCTCAACCACATATTACACAGTGAACCGATTCTGTGTTGAACATTTAAAAATTTCACTAAATATATCAAATAATAATATTATAATTTCTTTTTACTTATAATTTATTTTATCATTCGGATAACTATTTTTTTCAGCTAGAGATTACAAGACTTCATTGCCTATTCCCCTTGTGCGGGAATCTAAAAAACCAAAAGTCAAAGTTACTTTGAGCAATGTCTCGTATGTACAGTTATTCAGATCTTAAATTTTAATGTACTCTTGCCGCCGGTCACAACATTCACTTTACAATTTTCGGTAATTCAACGTAATAAACATCGAGTAACGAATAGATTATAAAAATATATAATTTTCAAATGTAAGGTTGTTGAAGCCATATTTTTTATTTATTATTTCTCTTATTTTCTTTATTCGAACATTGGTCATGGGCGAATCTGTATTAATTAAGCTTCAAAATATGTCCAAAGTAAATTAAGTATTCTTAACTATGGAAATCATTTTTTTTTTTAAATTATTCAAGTGGAATAAGTACAATGAAAAAAAATAAAATAAATTATTCGACAAAAATAAAAAAACCGCTGCCAATTCATTGGCAAAGAGCTTTCTCATAAAAAAAAACCGCTGCCAATGTATTGGCAAGTAGCTTCTTCATACTTTTCTTTTACTTAAAAATAATTTGAAAATATTCATATCATTTTTTCTAATTTGTTCACAAAACAGTTTCAATCATAAATTATTTCTGTTTGTGGAATCAATTGCCAGCGTTCTTCTATTCTTTAATATATAATTTTTATCGATTTTTTTCACGATGACGTAATAATTAAGATAGTTCCCTCAAATAAAAAATAATTTGGAAATATTAATGTGTAAATTAAAAAATCTAAAAAAATTCATACAAGTACATATCAACAAAATTTTTTCAGATTTTTCAAGTACTTCAGGCCTTCAGATAAAATAATTAAAAATTGGAAAATTTATATACAGCGATACGAGCCTAAATCAAACTCGAAAATTTTTTTCTCTGCTTTATCGCATTGAAAAACATGACCTTAAATTTTTTTCAGTTGTCTTCAGAGGCGGACTGGCCATTGGAAATTTGGGAACTTTCCCGGCGGGCCGTTACGAATTGGACCGCCTTGAACAACACTCTGGGCCAGGTCAGCAAAAAAAAAAAACAGAAACAAAAATATTTTTTTGGCTTCTTCCTTTTATCAATACAAATAAAATGAGACATCTACACTAACAATACGAACTACCGTCATCGATATATCACTACACATCCCAACACATTCACCCCAAAAAACCAAATTTCTTTTCAGAATGTAAAACTTGAACCCGACGGTGAATCTTTACCATTTTCATCTTCAATGAAAAGTTAAAAGCTCTTCTTTCAAAAATAGTATTACTTTTATAAGGAAAAATCGGTTTATTATAGAACAAAATGAAAAAAAAAAAATCCGAAAAACCCCCATAACTTTTTGAATACTTAACATAGAAGAAAAAAACATGTTTTGGCTTCTTCATTTCATAATTACGAAGAAAATGAGCCATCTACAGTAATGATACGACCTCCCGACTTCGAGATATCACTCTGCACCGACATACACACGTACATACACACTAGGGCGGAACGAAAAAACACTTTTGACGCCGATCGCTTTGTAATAGTATTTTATCGAAAGTTTGATCTTACCTTCGCCAGTGTCTCGCTCTATAATCGAGTCGGATCCTGGCGGGTAAGTGATGTCTACACAAGCAGCGATCATAAAGCTATTGTGTACGAGATTCTCCTTGAGGAAAATCAAGGTGTTGGCCGTGCTCCGGCAGGCAACCGTAGGTGGAGCGCACGAACTCTCGACGGTGATAGTTTTGCTGAGATCGTGTCTGAGATGGAGATCCGGTCGGATTCCGCAGAGAACATGGTGGACGAACTCATGTCCACAATCGTGCGCGCATGCGATGCCTCTATGTCCGGGGGGCGTGATCGCCGGCGCCGCGAGCCTGTTTACTGGTGGAACGACGACATCGCGGAGTGCAGACGGGACTGCATCCGTGCGCGAAGGTACGCTCAGCGGGCACGCTGCCGTCCTGACGAAGTCATTCGCCGCGAGGAGTTCGCCGACGCTTGAAGGCGACAACGCAATGCAATAAAGGCGAGCAAGCGCCTCTGCTGGAGGCAGCTCTGCGACGAGGCGGACCGCGATGTATGGAGTAAACCATACAGAACGGTCATGTCCCGCCTCAAGGCACCCAGGACGTCGCCCCTTACCGCACCTGACTTGGTGCGGCGAGCAGTGTCTACGCTGTTCCCGTCGGTCATTCCTCGGCTAATCGGTGCCCCGCCGATACTGGAGGAGCACCTGATACCCGAGGTCGGCGTGGAGGAGCTCCGATGGGCGTATCGGCGTGTGAGGATCGGGGCAGCCCCTGGTCCAGATGGAATCCCTAACACTGCCCTCAAGGCGGCGGTCGAGGCTTGTTTCGATAGGTTTCGCTGCGTCTTTACGGCGTGTCTCAGGGAGGGGTGCTTCCCCGCGCGTTGGAAACGGCAAAGGCTCGTCCTGATGCTAAAACCAGGCAAGCCTGCCGCCGAACCATCGTCGTACCGCCCGCTGTGTATGTTAGACACAGCGGGTAAAATCCTCGAAAGGATCATGGTTGGTCGCCTGGAGGCCCACACTGAAGGGGAGGTCCCGGCTTATCTGCAGCGGATGGTTTCAAACTACTTCCGCGGCAGAGTGCTGGAGTTCACCACGGCCTGATAGGGCAGAGACTTACGAAGTTACGGCTGGCGTGCCACAGGGATCCGTACTTGGCCCCATTCTTTGGAACGTCATGTACGATAGGATCCTGAGGCTCGAGCTACCGAGGCCCGCAAAAATCGTCGGATTTGCAGACGACATTGCAATCACGGTGGTGGCCAAGCACCTAGACCTCGTCGAGTATTACTCAAACGAGACTATACGTCTAGTGCGAGCAGCCCTTACTGAACTGGGGCTACAGACCGCTGACCAGAAAACCGAGGTTCTCCTGGTCACCAGCAGGAAGGTAACGGAGACCATCACTGTCGGAGCCGGCGACCACTACATCACGTCAGCTCCCTGCATCCGGTACCTAGGCGTGCACATTGATACCAGGCTGCGATTCAAAGAGCATCTTCGCATCGTCAGCGACAAGGCAAACCGGGTTGCAGGCGCCCTGCTGGGCTTTATGCCCAACATCGGAGGCCCAAGGAGCAGTTGACACAGGCTCTACG